GATAGGACTCTCCTGAGGCAGCTCAGGTACCTGTGTGACGATACCGGGGTGATACGAGTCGGGGGAACGGTACGTGACGACCGAGTAGACCGCGCTGGAGTCTCCACCAGTTGCACTTCAATGTTACTGCCACATGTCCACCACACTGAAGTGGTCCGGGGTTATGCACCTCTCGTGTGCCACTCCCTGTCCAACCAGGCTTTGTAATAGGGTCTCGGATCTACCGGTACACCTAATACCTTGATCTAACTAACCAACGGAATACGGCACAAGGAAGCGTCGCTAAGGCGTGACTTAAACGATTCAACCCCGACATAAGTTGTTTCCGCGTCCCGATCCCGACTGCATACGTGTGGTCCCAACAGATCATCAGGCTCAGTTAGACTCATGGAGAGGCTTTTGTGTGGTGTTACTTATAAATTTTAACCAAGACAAGACGGCAAATTAGCATGTTGACCCTACGGTTAGGTACACCCCAGCACGAAGTTTCGATCCCCGTTGTGCTCTGGCTCATCCCCATCCTCTGACCACATGGGGAGGAACTCGTTATTTCCCGGGTGAGTGGGTGATTGGCGCCCCTACCCGGGCTATGTTGGACGGGGCCTGCCTCCGTCCCTCAGGCGGGGACCTCCGACGCTCGCACCTCCTAGACAGGGTACAAACGGCTTCTCGCCCGGGTGTTCTTCCGGCATCGCGTGGACTCCTCAGGTCCCAGGCTCAAAAGCTCGTCCAGGCCAACTTTGGAGGGTGTTGTCTCGCGAATTGACCTCTATTGCCGCTTTTCAACTAAAAAACGCAAAAAACGAAACCCCACCCCACCCTTACAACACTACCAGTCGTACTTCTTTTTTTTACTACTCGATTCCCGCATCTCCTCCCTCCGATATCTCGGTTCTGTTCAGTCTACCACTTCCAAAATTCAGGTCAGCTCGTTTGTTCCAGGTCTTTCACGGTGCCAATACCCAGCCTTTACTGTAAACTTCTTACTCCAACTTTCGTCATTCGTATAGGCCTTCAGACATCAATAACTCTAGTCACTCCAGGTACCACCTACACTTTAGTGGGTTCATCCTCATGACTCCACCTTTTTCTTTGTCTCGACCCAGGTCTTAAAGTCTCTTTAGTCTCTCCTTACCCCCAAACCAACCCTCCCGCCATCTATTGACGGTTCCTGACTGCACACACTGGTCTCTCAAATTTTCGAGTCCACAAGTTTACTTCCTCGTTATTCTACCCACTCCAGACCAAAATTACAGGACAGCCACATAATGCCGTTTAAGGTGGTGGAGCACGGGAGGCTCGCACCGAATAAATACATACTCATAGGTAAACCCGCACATCACTCCAACTCACTCTCATTAGGTCTCCACAACGGTCCAAAAGACAGTCTTTTTCTTTCAGGTCAAATAAACGG